TCCTCAATTTTTGCTCATAATCATATTTATATTCTAAATTATTTTTCGTTGCACTCTTATTTTCAACCTCAATTAATTAGCATATTTTACTTTTATTGACTGTTTTTATTCAAATATTATGTTATCGTGCTTTCAAATAAGGTGCAAATAGTTTTTTTGGAACTTCTGTATTTGTATTCCCTCCTAAATTTATTTTTGGCAAAAATCGTTGTCAGGATCGAGATTTGCTAAATAATTTGATAATGAGATTAGAATGATATAAAAAATGTTGGGAACGTAAGTATGACAATGAACAAAATTTGAGAATTTCATTGCAATTAAAATGTAGTACAGCAAACAAAAAAAAAAGTGCGTGAATATATTAATTATTATCTCTTATAACATTCTAGGATTATATTGAGATAAACAATCGTGGGATTTAACTAAATTACATTTTATACGTTAAGATAATTATATTCATTATTTCAAACTAACAATATACTATCCTACTTTATTCAATCTAAACTCATGGTCTAAAATCTGAAATCAAATTAATCCACCATAATATTATTTACACGGTACCCACCAGTAATTGTAATTTTATATTTAATCTCTTTTATAATTTAGACTGATAAACCATGCACACTAGAAAAGATTTTAAACAACAAAAAGTAGTGCTAAAAATGAAAGTCATCAAAAAACAGTAAAAATCATGTTAACATCTTCTACCTTATATCGAAGCATAATATGTTTGAACATGCTTATAAGCATCGGAATTCACAACTTGTTGTGGTTTAAAATAAACAAATTGTAGGTTTCATGCAATAATTGTGACTCGTACTTAATAGCGGTTAAGCATAACTGAACAAGTATGACTCAATTACCTTACTCTTCTCATCAAGCAAGGGTGTGCAAGCGTTTTATAAGAGTAATTGAACTTTGGTCTGTTTCATGATAATCATTCAACTTTCATCTTTTTTTTTTCTTTTTTTTTTTTTTTTATGCTATCCATCGCAGTAATTAAAACTAACGATTTGTATGCTAGACAGTTGGTTAAGGAAAATGGAAAAGCTATGGAAGAAGAGCCATATTAGTTTTATTTGACACGTGGAGAGGATTGTTAATTTTAATTGCGGAAACATAATAATAATAATCAAACTGGAGCAAAAACAAAAGGCATGACACCTTCGATTATTTTTGGTACACTCCAGTCCATAGTCTGTTGACATTGTGTGAGTTGGTCAATATTTTTATCTTTAATTTTAATGATAATTAAAATAATTAATGATAGATATTTTGACAAGACACGGTATCAATAGTGATGGCAATGGGACGGGTTCGGGGTGGGGCACCCCCAGCCCGCCCCGTTTGGCTAAAACCCCGCCAGGGACGAGGCAACTTTTTGCCCCGTTTGTTGCCCCGTATAATTTATTCATTTATTATTATTATTATTATTATTATTATTATATTTTTTTTTTTTTTACATTTTGAAAGTTTCGAATTATGTTATTATTAGAGAATAAAATACAAATTTAAAATAAGTTTTTAAAGGATGAATTGTTTAGAAATAAAATTATTTTTAATTTTTTTTTTTTACTTTTTCTTCACGGGGCGGGCCATCCTCTCCCCGCCCCACGCCCCGTAACGGGGCGGGTTTTTTTGCCCCCATTCGGGGCGGGGCAAATTGTCATCACTAGGTATCAGGGAAAATTGCAGTCAAGGTACCAAACTTTTCGTTTATTAGCAGACTTTGCCCATACCTTTCATTTGTACCACCGAAGATACCAAACCTTTCAAAAATTCGCACCCGAAGTTCAAATGGATAGAAACCATTAGTAAATCCGTTAGTTGACCTATGGTCAACATTTTGACCAAATTTTGACTGCATTTTAAAGGGTAAAATGGTAAAATCATATATTTTATAAAAAACAATTAAAATAAAAACCCAAAACACAAATACACTTCATCTTCTCCACATATCTTGCACACACCCACCCCTCAAAACCAAAACCAGGAATTGAAACCTCCACCTGCCACTCAACCCACCGTCAGAAATCACTAGCAAAACACCATGGAAAATAATTTCCTCTTCTATTCATTGTTTTCAACAAAACCAGTTTGTAAATGTGTAAATTTCTCTATCCATTTCTGTATAATGAGGTCATCTTCAATTCTTATCCTTCAATTCTGTACAATTCTGTTAATCGACTCACCACTTCTGCGCTACAAGTTTTAAGAACTTAGAAATGCGAGTACCAAAACTTTGCCCACCGCTCAACCCCTCCTGGCACGGATTCTCCAATTGGTACCCTACACTTGCACATAATTTATGCAATTATTGGCAAATCTCGCAAATGATGAGAAGCATATACTGAGTTTTCGTGTTATGGGTAAGAAGCATAAGCTGAAAAATTATCGATCTGTAATGTCTATCTGTGAGACTGTTGTGTTTTTGCATTTTTTGTCACTCAAGCTGGTGGATCTGGTGATGGCAGATTTTCAATGACTACCATTTTGCCCAATTTGTGAGGATGTGGTATTTGTTTGAAACAATGACGTAGGAGGAAATTATTTGCCATGACACTGGTGGCATTTCCAGCTCGGTGGTCGTGGAGGTGATTGGTGGTCACCAACGCAGTGGAGGTGGATGTGGGTTGGATTTTGGTTGATTTGATAGGGTTAGGTGAAGACAAGAGGAAAACGGGTGGGTGGGAAGAAGATGACTAATTTTATTTCATTTTTTGGTTTTTTTAATTATTTTAATTCTTTAATATAAAAACCTAATGTTACATTTTTATCCTTTAAAATGCAGTCAAAATTTGATCAAAATGTTGACTCTTGGTCAACTATCGGATTTACTAACGGTTTCCATCCATTTGGACTTCGAGTGCGAATTTTTGAAAGATTTGGTACCTTCGATGGTACAAATGAAAGGTTGGGACAAAGTCTGCTAATAAACGAAAGATTTGATACCTCGACTGCAATTTTTCCCTAGGTATCAACAAAAAACAAATATCATATTTTTTTTTTGGATTGCACTCAACAAAACAAATTCAGTGTGCCACGTAGCCCTAGGGTGGGCCCACTGCAGTCAACATCAGTACAATCTCCACCGATTCCCATTCTATTGTCATCCAATGCATTTCTTATTGCACATGGTTTTGGGACCCACCAAATTGACAAATTTAGAAAAATAAACAATTCAATTACTTTTTCCAACTTGAAAATAATCTCTTGCAGTCCTGCTCCCTCTCGAGTTATAAACTCATTTTTAATTAAACATAATATATGCAATTTTTATGAACTTTTCAATCACATATTTTATCAATCTTCATCGAAATCTACCTAAATTTTAATTTTTATCTAAACAATACATACGCTAAGTAACTCTTGTTATAGTGTTAAACTCGCTTACTAAGCTCCTATTTGACTCCCTTGAAAAAATAATAATTTATTTTTTATACTTATTTTCAAGTATATATTTACACGATAAGGAATTTTACACATAAATTCAAATTTTCTCCACTTTTTAACTATACGTTCTTTAAAAAATTATTATTCAAAACATTATTTTTTACACAAGAATGAATATCAAATAGGGGTTAAATAACTTCTCTTATTTACTCGTAAAGTAACATATCTTGTGATTCCATAACTACTAAATCGCCTTTTTAGTAACTATGTCAAGATTATCCTCCATTCACAACTTTTATTAGTTAAGGCCTGTTTGATTCTCATTATTTGTCAAAAATACATTTTGTAATAGTGATTTAATGGAGAATGTGTAGTTAAAAAATAAGAAAAAAATATTGAATTTGAGTGTAATATTATTTTATTGAAAAATATGTGATTGAAAATAAGAATGAAAAAATGCATTTTAAAAACAATGAGAATCAAACGGGAGGTTAGAATGAGTTTATTGTGAATCTGTTAGGAGTCATGTAAAATATTATTTCCTAAAACCAGTGTTAAGAAAACAAATGAAGTCCATGTTTGACTTCAATTTTTTAAAATTTATTTTTAATCATATATTTTATAAAATTCATAATTTTTATCAATTTTTCAATTATATATTTTATTAATTTTTATTAAAATTTTAATTTTTATTTAAATCAAGGGACAAAGTGAAAATATTTAATTTCAAAAACTACTTTCTTTGTCATAGAAAAGATAAATAAATACATGAAAATAAGATAGTCTCGGTTGTAAGTACAATTTGAATAAGTCAACCTAGCCTATTTGTTATAATTGAAATCGTTGAAACATTCTCTATCGTGACTCAATTGAAAGCCAGTTTGATCGTTTATTTTCTGAGAATATAAAAAATAATTTTTTTTCAAGTAATATATAGTTAAAAATAGAGTAAAATTACGAGAATGCGTGCAAAATTATTTTATTAAAATTATGAAAAATTGAAAATAACTTTTAAAAAATTAGAAAATTGTACCAATAACTTATATTTGACTTTGAATAAAATAACATATAAAAATGCATTTAATCGATTAAATCACTTTCTATTCACATTTTCTTTTTTAAATTCATAATTTTTACTCATTTATTCATCACCATTTTTATCAATTTATGATTTAAATCAGTTTTAAACAATTCTCGTCTGAGCTCAACCAAGCATGCCTCCAAGCCTCACGAAGTTTCAACAACTAATTCTATTTAGCACTTCAGATATACAACTAAATAAATGCCTCATTTGCCCCTCGAGGCATATCTCAATAGTGCAAAAGACAAGTGTAAGGTATACTCAACTTTGCTGATCGTCGCAGTTTGAGTGTTCCATTCCTGAAATATGAATTGAGATTTTTTGTGGACATCAGTGTACATGCAGCTCTTGTTCTCTGACTTATTGAAATATATTCCACGATTAACCTCTCTCGCAATACTGCAGGAGCCGGACGCTAAGGTTGAGATTCAACCTTTAAATAAATGCCTCATTTACTCCAAAAAAGCTTATCTATTTATACTCGTCAAAAATTCATACTGGGGAGTAATTGCACAGGAAACAGACGGTGAAGAAAACGTTAAACAAAACAATAAATAATTCTCTGTGTCAGATTCTTTCACACATTTTTCTTTGCACGCAGAAACCTGAAATTTTGACAGTACTGAATTTGGGCCATCTTCATCCTTTTCATCTTCACATTTTACTCAAATGTTCTGAACTGTTCTTCAGACTTCTTTTCCTTATCCTGTCTCTGTAAAGTTCTTTATTTCTCTTTTTTTCACATCCATTTTGTTGCTAGAGGTGGGGTCTTTTTATTATTTGGGTTTAGTTCACTTTATACCGTTCTGGATTCTGCATCTTGGAAACGTTTTATATCACAACCTGGTATATATATTATCTTTCGCTTTTATGTGGTCTGTTTTCTGCAATCATTTTCTTGCAATTTACGCTTTCTTGATGTTACAGTTTTTCATTTTCATGGGTTACCCCACCCCATTATACTGTTCTAGATTCTGCATCTTGGAAACGTTTTATATCACAACCTGGTATATATATTATCTTTCGCTTTTATGTGGTCTGTTTTCTGCAATCATTTTCTTGCAATTTACGCTTTCTTGATGTTACGGTTTTTCATTTTCATGGGTACCACCCCATTCCACTCCGCTCCCATTCCCACCTTAACCCCACCAGGGCCACCACACAGCACCTTGTTTTGTGTTCTGACCTTTTACTGTTAGCATAACAGGTGGGTCATGTGGTGCCGCATTGTACCTACATACATGTGCGGTGGTTTTTTTTTTTTTTTTTCTTGTTGACAAGGTAACCCGCGGCCGTTACCCGAAGGTGAGCACTAGGTAAATCCCGCCTTGTGATCCTAGCTGGCAAAGGACCACAAGGAGTTAAACCGGTTACATGTGCGGTGTTCTTTTGTTGTTATGTGGGTTTTAGCTTATGAGTTATTTTAAGCATTTTTCTTATGCATTTTAGCTTTTTGGTTGCTAGAAACTGGTAGTTTTCTTTAATTTCTGTAGCCTTTTCATCGTTCTCTAGAGATTTCTGATCTGGGTTTTTGCAGATTTGATGCTTTCGCTGGCACTTCAGAAACTCTAGTGAAAATTCTTGGAAACTGTTATTTCATTATTTTTCATAATAAAGAAGAAATTTAAGAAATGGCAGGCGGAGCAGCAACCAAAGCAGATGAACCAGCGCCACACCCACCGAAGGATCAGCTTCCCAATGTTTCCTACTGCATTACAAGTCCTCCTCCATGGCGTTAGTTTCTTAACATTTTCTTAATATATCTTTTCTGTAATTCTTTCAGTCTTTGATATAAAGTGGTCGTGGATTCTGTGGCTCAATTATAATTATCATTTTTCATTTAAAAAGTATTTGTGGGTGCAGGCTGAATTGTTATTAAATTTCTGCTTTTCATTATAAGCTCTGTGTCTACACTACTATTCTATTTTTTTTAATTTTTTTTTTAGTGGTCTGGGTAGGAATGGCTTGTTTTAGCATAGCCATGTTGGTATCTATGGGCTAGATCAATTAGTAAGTTATGGGTTTTGATTCTTGCAAAATTTGCCATTCTTCAACTGTTCAATCTGTTTTGCTATTGGATGATGCCCGACTGAACTTCATTCTACTTTTCCATATACTGGTGGTCTTGCTATATGCATTATTGGTTTGGAGAAAACTTGGATGACAGAAGCAATTTAATTAGTTGCCAGATTGTATATATGGTATTTAGAATGGATTAGTGGGTAATATGCTTTCTGTTTGCCATATGCTTTGGTATGATAGTGACTTATAAAAGGTGCTCTCTTTTTTCTTTAACAAAACTCACTTTATGAATGTCCTGTTAACATATGAATAACAGTTTACTTTCACAGTTTCACCAAATACCCAATTTGGTACTTTTATTATAAGTTAACATTAGATAACCCAAAATGTTTGATGCAACTTTGTTTCTATTTAAGGGTTGCTATATTATTATTCTCAGTTAAGCTATAATGTCACTCTAAAGTGATGCCTTCTTTTATCATCAAGAATATCCAGATATAATGCCGTTGTGCAATTTTTTAATTGTTACTGGATATTTGTTGAAGATATGCATGCAAAGATGAGGTCATTATTGCATCTTGTGTTTGTAAAAGTTTTGACAAAAATGACATTTGTTTGCAGCTGAGGCCATTCTTCTTGGATTTCAACATTATTTAGTGATGCTTGGCACAACAGTGATCATACCGACTGTTCTGGTCCCTCAAATGGGGGGAGGAAATGTGAGGAATTAGAATGCTTACATGCAATTCAATTCTATACATTTCTGTTGTGTCTCGTTGGTTTTCACTGACCTACTCAGATACATACTTTTTTTTTTCCTTCCAGGAGGAGAAAGCTAAAGTCATTCAGACTCTGCTATTTGTTTCTGGATTGAACACTCTGCTGCAGTCATGGTTCGGGACCAGATTACCTGCTGTCATTGGGGGGTCATACACCTTTGTTGCACCCACAATTTCAATTATCCTGTCTGGTAGATGGAGTGATCCAAACCCTGAATTGGTATGTGATTTTTATCTCTAGTCCAAAGTTTCAGTGAGAAACATTATTTAGTGATGCTTGGCACAACAGTGATCATACCGACTGTTCTGGTCCCTCAAATGGGGGGAGGAAATGTGAGGAATTAGAATGCTTACATGCAATTCAATTCTATACATTTCTGTTGTGTCTCGTTGGTTTTCACTGACCTACTCAGATACATACTTTTTTTTTTCCTTCCAGGAGGAGAAAGCTAAAGTCATTCAGACTCTGCTATTTGTTTCTGGATTGAACACTCTGCTGCAGTCATGGTTCGGGACCAGATTACCTGCTGTCATTGGGGGGTCATACACCTTTGTTGCACCCACAATTTCAATTATCCTGTCTGGTAGATGGAGTGATCCAAACCCTGAATTGGTATGTGATTTTTATCTCTAGTCCAAAGTTTCAGTGAGAAATCCATTAGTGCTAAGGCTATTGAGGCTCAGGTATCAAGGCATGGCTTTGCTAAGGAAGAGCAAACCAGTATATGAAGTGGTGATATTATTTGGTTCTAATGTGTTTTACCTTTGATGACCATGCAGAGGTTCAAGAAGATTATGCGGGCCACTCAGGGTGCACTTATTGTTGCCTCAACTATTCAAATAGTCCTAGGCTTTAGTGGGCTTTGGCGTAACGTTGCAAGGTCTTTTTTACGTCATAGAATTAATGTGCTTGCCTCTTAGTTTCATCTGTACTGAGAATATTTGAATTCTTTTATTGTCGCTGTAATATAACTGGTCTGAGTGAATCTTCTTTTACGAACTTTTTAATTGGAGACAACATAATGTGTTTTTAAGATGTAATCGATCTTAAACTTTTGCTCTTTTGTGCTTGTAATAAATTTGGTTTACTGAGCAAAATTGTCTGTCCTATGCTTCTTCACTCTTCTTGATCATGTTACTGCAGTGTAGTAATACTATATATACTATATATAATCTGCTGTCATAAATACTATATATAATCTGCATGTCTGTTTTATATATTGACATGGTTACTTTCTCATAGATACAAGTGAACCCAATTTATCATGGATATCATTTATAGTCTCAAGCTGTTACATGATATCTTGACCATACTCTAATGCAGTTTTTTAAGTTATGGCTAAGTCACCGTGTCTATATAATGCAGGTTTCTGAGTCCACTTTCAATTGTTCCTTTGGTTTCTCTTGTTGGTTTCGGGCTCTATGAGTTTGGGTTCCCTGGGGTACGTATGGATCTTTACAATGTCTTCCTCTCTCTCTCTCTCTCTCTCTCTCTCTGAGATGGCTTTCCTCTGCACATCATTTTTTTTCACATTTTTAATTCTATTGGCTATTGATAGTCACTAAAAGAACTTGCGATGGTTGTCTAGGTTGCCAAATGTGTTGAAATTGGATTGCCGCAGCTCATCATTCTAATTCTCTTTTCTCAGGTAGCATTCTTTGGTACACTTCTCTATCAAAATCTCTTTCCTATTTTTTGTATGCCTTCCATTCAATATCTTTGTTGATCAAGTTCAATGTAGGTTACACCAATGTAATCTTGTATTTACAAGTATTAGGATGGAATTCATTTTGCACATGTTTGCAGCATTTTTTATGTATAATTTCTCTATTTTCTGCTCGATATAATAATATTTATATTCCTGGTTATTGCAGTATTTGGCCCACCTCATACGCCCGGGAAATAATATATTAGATCGTTTTGCTGTTATATTCTCTGTGGCAATAGTATGGATTTATGCCTATCTACTTACTGTGGGTGGGGCCTACAATGGGAAGTCACCAAGGACACAAATAAGCTGCAGAACAGATCGTGCTGGACTTATTGGTGCTGCTCCTTGGTAAGCTGAGTTTTTATTCTAAATGATAATGATAACATTTTTGCGCTTTGCACACTGTTTCAAGTTAAATTCATGATGAACTCAATTATTCTATCTATTTTAAAAAGGAGATTGCTATGGTAAATATGGGATACGTAAATATTTTGGCTCCTTCTGATTGGATTGTATAATGGCTATCGTGCACTCTAGGTCACTTCGATGATGGTTTTTCAGAGGATGGCTAACATTTGTCATTGTGTATGAAGGGAGTTCCTGTTCTATTTCTCCATGAGTGCTGTAATTGTTCACTGGATTTCTTGGGGACTTTGATTGTACAGGGCGTTCATCATTTTCTTGAAATATGGAAGGAATTATTTTGAGCCATTCATGTTCCATGGACCTTAAAAGTTGATTATATGAGTTTTTCACTTGTGCCATGATTCTTATAGATTTACATAGAATTGGAAACAAATTGTAATGGCAATACATGGTTTGGTACTATCAAATTGATGGGCATTTTTTGGCACTATACTTTGGATATTTAACTTATTCATCGAGAACAATTATCTTATTAGTGGTATTGTGAAATGATATGTGGTCAACAGAGTTCAAATGGTTTTTTTCGGTTTACTTATTCAGGATAAGAGTTCCATACCCCTTCCAATGGGGAGCACCTTCATTTGATGCTGGTGAAGCCTTTGCCATGATGATGGCTGCGTTTGTTTCTCTTGTAGAGGTTTGTTTTTGTCTAATCATTGGTCAGAATCATTAAAATTTCATTGTCTCTATTATTTTTCTGTGAACATTGGTAATGGATCACAGAATAGAATTGTAGATTTTAGAGGCCGGTTCATTTTCTCTGTATTGTCCCTATTTTATAATATTGAGATGTATAAATAAATCTGCCTAGCTAGGAAGTAAGGTTTCTTTACGCTGCCAATTGTGACTCCATTTGTGGTACCCAAGCTCAGTTCATTTTGTGAGTGCCTTTTGCCTCTGGTCCACCTTGTCTCCTTGTATTTTCTGGATGTTTGACTTGTCGTCTTTACCATCTCTATTTTCTTCATCTTTTAATGTATTCATCTTTCGCTCTCCCACTAATTCTTCACCTTCATATAATATACCTAATTCACGAATCTGTCTTCCTGGCTCTCATTTTCCTCATGTTTAGTGTCATTGAAAATGCTTGACTTCTAATATTTGTGATGTGCCGTGGAGAACAGACTATCTATCCTTATGTCTTTAATATTGGATAGTTATTTGATATTTGGGTGGAAGAGATGTCATTTTCATTTCTCTTCTCTAGGTTAAAGGAAAAGGAGCATGGTTTATTTGTTTTTGCTAGCTTGAATTTCTCATTTGAAACCCAAAATGTGCTAACTTTTGATGTTTTAAGTTGATATAGCTAAATCTTGTTTTTTGACATGTTCTCCAATGTTATATGCAGTCCACGGGTGCCTTTTTCGCAGTATCAAGATATGCCAGTGCAACCCCAATGCCACCATCTATTCTCAGCCGTGGCGTAGGCTGGCAGGTATATAGGGCATCTTACAGACCTCAGTCCAGCTCCACCTACCAAAACACATTTGAAGAGAATAAGTGAAACAACAATAAGAATTTCCCTTTGTTCCCCATAAACTTGAAGTTGGCTAAACAAACCTGATTTCTCCATGCTCTGATCTGCGTTTGCTGAAATGTCCAATGAATTTGGAACGTTTTGATTACATGAAGTCATTTAATTTTTGTCTAACTCCCCCTTTTAACTTTCCCTTTTTAACATTTTCTACTTGGTATTGCATGCATCATTGTTGTGAGTTACGCAAGGTTAAGATTATTGCCTGACCTTATCTACTTTGGACATTAAGAACATCAAAATCATTTTCTTTGGACATTGTAGATTCCTAGGAAATGATATTTAGTGAAATAAAAGATCGCTATGCTTGATTGATATACGAATGGTTCAACGCCGCAAGAGTCACAGAAATGTGATTTTTACCATGATTGATATGTTATACTAATGATTACCTTTCAACTTAATGGCTCATAGTTGTAGAGGACCAAATGCTCATTTATCTAAGTTTAAAATCGGAAAAAGATATTGTAAGTATGTGAATTTGAAGTTGACTAATAAAATTAAGAATGTGTACTCTATACTCCACCATACTTTTATTCCCTTCGCTCTCTGGTATATTTTAACATGTTGATTCTTATAAGCTCTGTGAAACCTGCAGGGATTAACAATCTTGCCAAATTATTATAAATAAATAACTTCTACATTAAAATAATACTCCAACTAAGATGTCGAAATGAGTAATCCGTAAATATTGGATGTCAAATAAACATTCCGAAGTCATTTCTGGTTGTGGATTTGGAGGATGACTGCCTAAGCTTATTCTTTCAGTTTAATTTCAGATTTATTTTCTCTGATGAATTTTATTGCTTTGCTGGTAATGGGTGAATAATTAAGTTTAGCAAAGATATGTGAAGAGTCTGAAGACTTTTTATGCTTTTGAAAGATGACTGGAAAGATGATGACATTGCATTTCATCATTCCCGATGAGAATCTCTCTTGTTTTGCTTGTAGAAGGGTCATTTGGAACATAAAGCTCCATTACTGAATGATTTTTCTCATGACATTTCCTATTTATATCAGAGCGTTTGTTAGTAATTTCAACATAATAGCTGACTTTTAGAATCTAATTTATCTTTGGCCTATATTGACGTGTCAGGGTGTTGCCATCTTACTTTCGGGGCTCTTTGGAACCGGGAATGGATCATCAGTTTCTGTGTAAGATACTTTTTTTTCGGCTTTTTTATTACGATTCTTCATGACTTTCATATGATGCTTTTCTTGGCTTCCATACAGTGAGAATGCAGGCCTATTAGCACTAACTCGTGTTGGTAGTCGAAAAGTTGTGCAAATATCTGCTGGATTCATGATTTTCTTCTCCATTCTCGGTAATATATTTTTTTGAGATTTTTGATCATTGAAGATGCATTGACATATTTCCCCCGTCTTAGTTGAACAAATATAACCATGCAGGAAAATTTGGAGCAGTCTTTGCCTCCATCCCAGCACCTATTGTGGCTGCTTTGTACTGCATCTTCTTCGCCTATGTTGGTATGTTTATACCATCTAAACCATATCTCATTACAGAACTTTGGTAAGCTTTGATTCGTGTGATTTGCAAATAACTTGTGGATCATCAATATGCAGGTTCATCAGGCTTAAGTTTTCTTCAGTTCTGCAACCTCAATAGTTTCCGGACCAAATTCATATTGGGTTTTTCCATTTTTATGGGCTTGTCTGTTCCTCAGTACTTCAATGAATACACTGCTATTCGAGGCTTTGGTCCTGTCCACACATCTGGTAGATGGGTATGCACAACTCCTGAATCTCTTCAATATTTTAGGTTAACTTAAGAAAAAATGATTCGTTTTTCTTGGTCAGTTCAACGACATAGTCAATGTCCCTTTCTCGTCTGAAGCTTTTGTGGCCGGCATAGTGGCATATTTTCTGGACAACACAATGCACAAGAAGGATCCCCAGATAAGGAAAGACCGGGGCAAACATTGGTGGGACAAATTCCATTCCTTCAAGACTGACACTAGAAGTGGGGAATTCTATTCCCTTCCATTCAATCTCAACAAATATTTCCCGTCCGTGTAATTATTGGGAGAATGGATTTCCTCAGATTTTGCTCTTAACGTGGTTCTTAAACTAATGTGTGCCAAAAGACTATTTTAACCATGGAGAAGAATTATAAATAGACTGGCCCCTTGAATTATATGTTGGTAATTGTATCTTATTGTTGCAAATTGATCTATTTTAACCATGGAGAAGAATTATAAATAGACTGGCCTCTTGAAGTATATGTTGGTGTTTGTATCTTATTGTTGCAAATTGATCGGTTGTACATATAAACTTTTGACAAGTTCGCTGCTTCATATACTGAGATTCTAACCTCAGTTTAGCATGTATGGCCTAGATCATGAGCTTGGCCAAACTTATTATTACCTGTTTTCATCATGATACTTTTCTTCATCATCGTATTTACATGAAAGTCCTAGCATGAATAATGCTATTTGGCACCACAACGTGTCTAAGATGGCACTTAAGTCATGTGACCTATTATTTGACAGGTTTCTCGTTTAGTGTCATTTGATGTTATGTACACTGGTGTTTGAACAACGTTGGTGCTATATTCATGGGTACTAGTGACTAATGATGTACGTGAAAAAGCATGTGAAAAGTTTCGTGTACGCATTCCGCTTCTGCCTTCAATTCGTTTTTTTTAAAATTAAATTTAAAATCAAATTGTAAAGGGAGATTTAAACAATAAACTTGTAAAATACAATATTTCAATTTATTTTACAAGCTATAATGGTATGTTATTTTTAATAAAGTAATTAAATACTTATATATTTACATGGTTAAATGTAAGAAATTTGTCTTATTTTTAATAAATTCAAAATCAGATTTTTAATAGTTAAATAAATGGTTTTCGACACACGAAAATCACGTTTGTATATTTTAAAAGTTTAGGAGGCGACCTGCCTCATTCAGTAGGTTGGAATTTTGAGCGCAACTGGCAAACGCTGGGGACTCCAACTAGAGATTACCCAAAACAA